GCGTTGTTCGTGTGTCAAAGTTGGAGACCGGACGCTTGAACGGTTACGTTTGCACTTTCAACGCTCTTCCTACGACTTCTTCGTTTTTACCACTTACGGAGAAAGGTACAAATTTCTTACTACTATAAGTTTTAGTACGTGATTCTGGGCAAGATAATCATGTTAGAATGTTAAAATTTTTATATTCCGCTGCCTATCCTTGCATGGTTACCTTTCATTGTTTACTTTAGTAATTAAACTACATTATTTTATTTGATTATATGGATTGTTGGACGTTACTTTGGTTTAATTATGCTTCCGCGACTTTTGGACTTGTTTTATTACTCCAATAAATTTTGGTTTAGCTTTAAACTCTCACGGATGAATTTATAATTTATTCCGTTGGTTAATTTTTTTAAAAAAAAGTATGCATGCGAATACCAATTTAGTTACAACCCGGTTCGCTAACCCGTTTGTTTGGATTACGCGGGTTGGGGTGTTACACCAAAATTAGTCCCAATCAGGGAGAGGCGTGTGAATCTCGCAGAAGGTGATTTCCACCGTTTGAAGATCGGCTAGTTGATTCCTGACTAAGCACATTACGTCTTCTTCTCCATCACCTTCTTATATAAGCAATGCTCAACCATTCCATTTCTTCACCAAATCAGCTTATTCTTCTTCCTATTCTGTTCCTGAGAGTGTGAGGAGTACTGTGGTGCTGCCAATTTCTTGTGAAGTCGCCGGAGCTAAGAGTAATCATCGCCGGAAAATTCGCCAGAAAATCATCAAAACCTTCATTTACCTTCGAGGTAAGCCCGTAGATATATCTAGTGACTAGAATGTTCATATAGATCGTTTCTACGTTCATAAACGGCCGTTTGGTTGAGTTTTGTGTTTGACATGCTTGAAGAACCAAGAATCATAAACCATGAAATTGATGTTAAAACTATGAATTAATGATGCCAAAATGATCTATGAACCTTGGAGAACATCTCTATATAGTTTCGTTGAAGTTCGATAACTAAAAATGGTATTTCCGAAATTAGACCCGAAGGAAGAAGAAGATGAACAGTGGCTGAAACACCACTGTCTGGATCGATCCAAGGGCTTGGATCGATCCCCTGGGAGTGATTTTTCATAGTATGGATCGATCTAGAGGGCTGGATCGATCCCCTGATGTTCTGATCCGAAAATTTGCCTTAAATTGCTATTTTTGAGCTCTAAAATCCTATTTTTGATACCAATTGATTATGATTATTTTAAGGATGATTCTTTAAAATAAAAATGATGTTTTTAACAAATAAAAATGTTATGTGATACATGACGGTAAGTTCGGGTGTTAACATTCGAAACTAGACCGCTATTTGTTATCAATTGTTATGTTGATTGATGATTATGATGAATGATTATTAAGTATGATTATGAATGATGAACTTACTGATTAAAATGATTATTGATTATTTAACCATTATTAAAATGAATATATTGATAGTTATGAAACGATTTGTATTGTTAATGGTATCTAGAATAACTCTTAGATATAAACATTTGTTAATTGATGTTAAGGCTATCTAGAAAACCTCTAGAATAGATCTTGTATTAGAATAGACTTATGAAAACATGAATATTTGATGAATTATTTAAAAACGTATAAACGGGATTCGTAGATCAAACTAGAGGATTACTCGTTTGGGAATGTCTGATCCAATGTTGATCAATCGCTATATTGTTGTTGCCTTAACCGACTACGGTTAAGTGCCCGAATCGTTTGCCTTAAACTAATGATAGTTTAAGTGTCTGATTCCCTTAACTGACTACAATTAAGTGTCCGAAATGAATTGCCTTAAACTAATGATAGTTTAAGTGTCTGATCAATAATTGCCTTAAAAGAATCTGGTTATGGAAATTATGATTTGGCCTTAGACTAAGAATATATAAGAGTATTATTATGATCTGGCCTTAGACTAAGAATAGCTAAGAGCGTTGTTATGATCAAGCCTTAGACTAAGAATAGCTAAGAGCGTTGTTATGATCTGGCCTTAGATTAAGAATAATTTAAGAGCACTATTGAAATAGTATCTGAATTGAATAAAATGTGTTGATATGAATTGAGCAATACCAAAACTGTGAATGTCTGAAATGAACATTGTGTGCATGATATCAAATGGTTTGATTATGAATTTAGATTCAGTTTATATGGATGTTTGACGCATTAGATATGCTAACTCAGCTTTACTGCTGAGCGTGTAGTATGTTTTATTTGCTACACGCAGGTAAACAGAAAGCATAATGTGATCCTGGCGGCATATGGGGCGAGATTGTCGGGATGGATGTGACAAGTTTGAAATCATTTATGATATGTCAAAATTAAATTCGCTTCCGCAATATTGTTGAATACTCCGTAGTGTGTATGTTATGAAAAATATTATTGAGATTAATAAAGTGTGTTTGAAAACTTTTAAATTTTTACGATTACCAAGTTAAATACTTTAGTCCGAAAGGGGCTGCAGACCTGGACAGATTAGGGTGTTACAATTTGGTATCGGAGCAAATGGTTTTTAAAACCGATGTTCGGATCAAAAATTTGAATTTAAAAAAAATGTCAGTCACATCCACGACTCTCGCATCCCTCTGCTCCAGGAAAGGTATGAGAATTTACTTAGTAAATATTGACGTGTTAAAATTCTCATTTGATAACAGTTGTTAGTACTGAAATTATATCGAGCATAGACTCAAGTCGAATTTTCGTATTCGGTAAAGAAAAGAAAGAATAAAAAAATGTATAAACCTCTGATACGTTATCAACGTACGCATCGCATCGTGAATGACGAAGTTGATCTGTACCAGAAAAGTCGCACGGAAGTGAGATGAACCTGAAGAACGATTCGTGTTGATATATGTTGAGAAACATCTGTGAAGCTGATGTCAAAGATCCATATGTGGACTCAAGACGATCTAATCGCTGACTCAAACACGAACGTTTAGAATCAATAAACTCTGTTATTTAAAGTATCTGATACTATTGTTTGACTCATTAGGACACATTATGCGATTACTTAATGTGAATTGAAATCGTTTGTTAAGCGACAATTCTTTGTAAAACATCGTTGAAGTACCATACAAGGAAAATCGACATTATCCTTAGTATGCATTAACTGACTGAACGTCGTTGCTGTTGTCAACTTGTGATGAAGAATTCCTCAACTGAAGACCAATGATGGTAACCTTATAGAGGTGAAAGCAAAGCTGATTTCTAAACCAACCAAGTTCATCTCAAATATATATACGAAAACATCTCAAGTGTGAAGTCTATTCGTGCGATACCCAAAAAGAAATATCTGAACTGAAGGAACGTACCGAAAGTATGTCACCTCTCTCATATGAAATGTCTAATATTTCACTATTCCGCGAAATTGACTTCTCTATCAATCTTGATCCTAGAAATGAGCCGGGCTCGACGAAACGTCGCAAGTGAACTAGCAAAACTGGGTGGTAGCCGTAGCCTGACTACCATGTACGTATACAAAGCCCACCTGATGAAAACCCGTTGGATCCCGAAGGTTCCTGGACGGGCCCACTGTAGTAGGCGCGCGAAAGCCTGACCTCCCTACAGCAGTATGCACATGATGATAAACCTAGGACATGCGTCTAGGATGAACATGATGAATTGAATGCATTGATTGAAGAAGGAAGTTAAATTCAACGCATACATATGTGTTTGATTACAATTTGTTCAACATAATGGCCTTAGGTTCAGAACTGGCTGATAATCGATTGTCTACTGCTGATAATCGATTATCATGCTATGCAGCTTCTGTCCCCAAAGTCCTGCAGACTGTGATAGTCGATTGTCACCCTATGACAGTCGATTGCCAAGTTGGTTTGTTCAGGAAGTCCTAAGTTAAGAGAGCCCTGATAATCGATTATTGACTGTGTGATAATCGATTATCAGTGAAACCAACTCAGACCCAAGAATCCGCAGGGCCTGATAGTCGATTATCACACATGTAATAATCGATTATCACGCTGTGCTGAATCAACTGAGGAGTCCAACGTGGCCTGATAGTCGATTGTACTATCCTGTAACTCGATTATCAAGGCACGCTGACTTCCATTTTATCTGTTTGTTTGTCATCAAAACTTTGGAAGTACTAGGAACGAATGTTTATATTTCCATGCTAAATATCCGATGAACTTACAAGGTTTCACAACATTCATATTAACAAGTACACAACTTCATAACATGGACACACGTATGTTGGATGGTTAACCTACGAACATGCATAGATTCTACGTAGGTTGCGTACGATATTCCTATGAATATAACGACATAGATTATAACTAAATGTTCTAGAATTAGAGAGACAACGACTCACCTCTAAATGCCGGGATTGACGGAACAATGAAACGAGATGAATGAATGACGTCTAACGAATGGACGAACGGTCAACGTACGGCTTCTCGTGTGAACTTCTCTCCTTCTACCTCCTTGTCTTCTCGCCGGAAAACCCCTTGGAGCTGCTCTGGCCTGGCCGAATGCAAGGAAGGAAGAGGGGGAGGAGAGGATTTGATGAGACTAAGGGATGGGGGTTACAAATGAGGAAGAACATGAATGGGAGAGGGGGTTTTTAATAATGGAGATTAAATGGGTGAATAATGGTGGATTAATTGGGAATGAATGGGGTGGTTATAGGAAACGAAAGGGTGTGTGGCGTGTGGTTCATAATTTGGGAAGTTACCTCCCTAAATTCCACTCTATTGTGTAGAATTTCATCTGAACGGTACGCGGTTTCCCCCCCCCCCCGAACGGGTCCGAATTGAGATCCGTTTGTATTTCCGGAATCAGACAGTCAAAACGAATTTAATGACATGTTCAAATAATTTTCCTAAGAACTTTTATTTTCTCCAACTCTGGACCGGAACAGTAATTAATTATTTAAAACAATCAATTCTAATAGACCGGGTTGTAGGGCGTTACAATTATCCACCCCTGGAGAAAAAATTTCGTCCTCGAAATTTACCTAGTCATTGATCGCCATGATTACGTCATGTGCAAACTACTCAGTGCGTCCGCGCTTTGCAAGTGTGCGAGCTGGAGCGTCTCCAGACTGAGCGCTTAGCGTCGGCCTTTTGGGCTGGCTGGACGCTGCTACCGATCTTTGGCTTTGAGCGGGCTGGGGCTGGAGCTTCGAGTTCTGTCGTAAACGCCTCGCCAGGGTTCGTCGGGCAGTCCCTACGGAAATGCTCGGCCTGACCACACCCTAGGCATAAGCCCTGAATAAACCAACACTCTCCGGGGTGCCTTCGACCGCATTGGGTGCAGATCGAGTACCGATATCCACTCTTTTTCGGGTTCTTCCCGCTTTCCTGTGTAGGCACTGGTGACGGGGCATGTGTTGACTTGGTCTTCTTGCTTGTGTGCGACCTGCTTGGCACGGAGGGAGACCCCTTGCTGCTTGAGCTAGGCGGAGGTGGACGAGGATGCGTCGTCTGGGCCTGCTCGTACTCGGCCTTCTTGATGAGGGCTGCATTCATGTCCAACGCATGTTTGAACAATGCGTTGATGTCAACCCGAGGGGCAGTGATCAAATGGGCCGATAAGTCGGGGCGTAGGCCCTCCACGAAGCGCTTGCACCGCTTCTCCATGGTTGGGACGAGGTCTTGCCCAAACCCCGCGAGCTCATCAAACTTCTGACGATACTCCGACAGTGTGAGTTCACCCTGAGTGAACTTCAGGAACTCCTCCCGCTTCGCCTCGACGAAGTGCTCTGGAATGTACTCTTCATGGAAGAGTTGCTCAAAAGTGGCCCACTGCACGGGCTCAGGGACGTCTGCTCCCACGCATTTCCATCAGTCGTAGGCGGAATCCTGAAGTAATGCGACTGTGACGTCGCCGCGCTGATTCAGTGGGACCCTCAGGTTTCCCAAAACTCGAGTGGTTCGCTCAAACCACTATTTGGCGATCATGGGGTCGGCGATCTGATCGCCTAGGAATTCCTCAGCTCCATTCTTTCGGAGCTTCTCGATAGTGATGACAGCCACTGGCGGTGGCGGTGGTGGCGGTGGCGGAATGTATGCACCAGCCAATTGCTGGAGAAAGTTCATGAAGTTAACCGCAAACTGCGGCTGGATGTTGGGAACGGCTTCTGGAACAGGGCCCGCGCCCGGGGCCGCCTGCTCAGGGACCTGCTGGGGTGTGAAGCTTGACGCTTCCGTGTGCACGCTCACATGCTCAGGCTCCCCATGTGGGACAGCCTGCCCATCGTCGCCTGCTGCTTGGCTCATTCTCTATAAGTAGAGCTTAGATCAGAACTAACTACAATATAACATATAAGTGAATTAAATAACGGTGTACCTTTCCCTGGAAGTGATGTGATGGAAGATGCGGCTGTGGACACTTTTTTTTTGAAAAATACCTTTTGACCAAGATGACAAAATATGTTTTTTTTCACAAGAACCGAACATCTCTGATACCAAATTGTAACACCCGCCTCCCGTGGACCCGGTTCACCCGCGACCCAACAGACCGGTAGAGTTACAAGGGCGGTCCGAAAACCGTCCGCAGCGGAAAAACATTAATGTAAATTAATGTTGAAAACGGTTGTGCTTAACTGATTGAATAAATGCTAGGGAGTTAACCCCAAACGTGTATGATCTAAAAGCAGAGTAAAGCGAAAGTAAATAAATAAGTCCAAAATAAGTAAAATGACAAATGGTGGGTTCTTGCCCAAATGATTACTTTATTAAATGTATTTAATTATTAAACTTGTCCGTGCGCCGCCCATCTTCCCATCATCACTGTCCTCGAGGGTTAGCACCTATATCGTCATGTCTACCTGCGTGTAGCAAAAACAACTACACGCTCGGCAAAAGCTGAGGAGTGAATCTAACAAAAGAACATGAAGTGATAACCCATATCGTTATACACATATTAATACCTGTACTTAACGTACGAAAAAAAACACATGTTTACTAAATGATTAATTTGCACTTGATGGGATATTATTACACATAACAAAATGATGTACTACCACATTGAATATGGACATGATGGGGAACATACATGATGATGACAACCGCATTGAATGTTGACGTGACATGAAACATACAAGATGACGATATAACTTGATGCATGACTTAAACTATCAGGGACACCCCTGACTTAGTCTCACTTGACAGGATAACCCCTGCACTCAATGAGCCGGGCTCGACGAAACGTCGCAAGTGAACTAGCAAAACTGGGTGGTAGCCGTAGCCTGACTACCATGTACGTATACAAAGCCCACCTGATGAAAACCCGTTGGATCCCGAAGGTTCCTGGACGGGCCCACTGTAGTAGGCACGCGAAAGCCTGACCTCCCTACAGCGGTATGCACATGATGATAAACCTAGGACATGCGTCTAGGATGAACATGATGAATTGAATGCATTGATTGAAGAAGGAAGTTAAATTCAACGCATACATATGTGTTTGATTACAATTTGTTCAACATAATGGCCTTAGGTTCAGAACTGGCTGATAATCGATTGTCTACTGCTGATAATCGATTATCATGCTATGCAGCTTCTGTCCCCAAAGTCCTGCAGACTGTGATAGTCGATTGTAACCCTATGACAGTCGATTGCCAAGTTGGTTTGTTCAGGAAGTCCTAAGTTAAGAGAGCCCTGATAATCGATTATTGACTGTGTGATAATCGATTATCAGTGAAACCAACTCAGACCCAAGAATCCGCAGGGCCTGATAGTCGATTATCACACATGTAATAATCGATTATCACGCTGTGCTGAATCAACTGAGGAGTCCAACGTGGCCTGATAGTCGATTGTACTATCCTGTAACTCGATTATCAAGGCACGCTGACTTCCATTTTATCTGTTTGTTTGTCATCAAAACTTTGGAAGTACTAGGNCCGATGAACTTACAAGGTTTCACAACATTCATATTAACAAGTACACAACTTCATAACATGGACACACGTATGTTGGATGGTTAACCTACGAACATGCATAGATTCTACGTAGGTTGCGTACGATATTCCTATGAATATAACGACATAGATTATAACTAAATGTTCTAGAATTAGAGAGACAACGACTCACCTCTAAATGCCGGGATTGACGGAACAATGAAACGAGATGAATGAATGACGTCTAACGAATGGACGAACGGTCAACGTACGGCTTCTCGTGTGAACTTCTCTCCTTCTACCTCCTCGTCTTCTCGCCGGAAAACCCCTTGGAGCTGCTCTGGCCTGGCCGAATGCAAGGAAGGAAGAGGGGGAGGAGAGGATTTGATGAGACTAAGGGATGGGGGTTACAAATGATGAAGAACATGAATGGGAGAGGGGGTTTTTAATAATGGAGATTAAATGGGTGAATAATGGTGGATTAATTGGGAATGAATGGGGTGGTTATAGGAAACGAAAGGGTGTGTGGCGTGTGGTTCATAATTTGGGAAGTTACCTCCCTAAATTCCACTCTATTGTGTAGAATTTCATCTGAACGGTACGCGGTTTCCCCCCCCCCCGAACGGGTCCGAATTGAGATCCGTTTGTATTTCCGGAATCAGACAGTCAAAACGAATTTAATGACATGTTCAAATAATTTTCCTAAGAACTTTTATTTTCTCCAACTCTGGACCGGAACAGTAATTAATTATTTAAAACAATCAATTCTAATAGACCAGGTTGTAGGGCATTACAGTAACGCCCCAAAATATACCCTAAAATTTGTTGAATTAAATATTCAATTAAACAAAATTTGTTTTGATTAAAATAAATTATTGTTAGGCTTTGGGCCAAAATAAAATATGTTCTGATATCCAATATCATAATTCGGATAAATCTTATAGAGATAAATTCAACCTGATTTACTTATTGTGTGACCTTAATTAAGAACCAGAGTAAAGACCCAAAACAGGGATAAATGAAGATATTGTTGTGATAAGAACTTTGAAATAAATTCCTGAAATAAACCATAAGAATAAATTAAGTGTGAGAACCTTTTATGATAAAAGTCAATTAAACCAATTTTGACTCTGTTAAAGTCAAACACCCAAGAATATGATGTCAGAAAAAGTATTACAAATAATTATGAAAATTATATCATTGGATAGAGTTTAGTTGTCCGATCGCAACGGTGCAAACGGAATTAAATTCGGAGAAAGTTGGACCAAAAAGTGAACCCCGACTAGGAACAAAATTAGTCCCAATCAGGGAGAGGCGTGTGAATCTCGCAGAAGGTGATTTCCGCCGTTTGAAGATCAGCTAGTTGATTCCTGACTCAGCACATTACGTCTTCTTCTCCATCACCTTCTTATATAAGCAATGCTCAACCATTCCATTTCTTCACCAAATCAGCTTATTCTTCTTCCTGTTCTGTTCTGGAGAGTGTGAGGAGTATTGTGGTGTTGCCAATTTCGTGTGAAGTCGCCGGAGCTGAGAGTAATCATCGCCGGAAGTTTCGCCAGAAAATCTTCAAAACCTTCATTTACCTTCGAGGTAAGCCCGTAGATATATCTAGTGACTAGAATGTTCATATAGATCGTTTCTACGTGCATAAACAGTCGTTTGGTTGAGTTTTGTGTTTGAAATGCTTGAAGAACCAAGAATCATAAACCATGAAATTGATGTTAAAACTATGAATTAATGATGCCAAAATGATCTATGAACCTTGGAGAACATCTCTATATAGTTTCGTTGAAGTTCGATAACTAAAAACGGTATTTCCGAAATTAGACCCGAACGAAGAAGAAGATGAACAGTGGCTGAAACACCACTGTCTGGATCGATCCCCTGGGAGTGATTTTTCATAGTATGGATCGATCCAGAGGGATGGATCGATCCCCCGAAGTTCTGATCCGAAAATTTGCCTTAAATTGCTATTTTTGAGCTCTAAAATCCTATTTTTGATACCAATTGATTATGATTATTTTAAGGATGATTCTTTACAATAAAAATGATGTTTTTAACAAATAAAAATGTTATGTGATGCATGACGGTAAGTTCGGGTGTTAACATTCGAAACTAGACCGTTATTTGTTATCAATTGTTATGTTGATTGATGATTATGATGAATAATCATGATTATGAATGATGAACTTACTGATTAAAATGATTATTGATGATTTAACCATTATTAAAATGAATATATTGATAATTATGAAACGATTTGTATTGTTAACGGTATCTAGAATAACTCTTAGATATACCCATTAGTTAATTGATGTTAAGCTATCTAGAAGACCTCTAGAATAGATCTTGTATTAGAATAGACTTATGAAAACATGAATATTTCATGAATTAGATAAAAATGTATTAACGGGATACGTAGACCAAACTTGAGGATTACTCGTTTGGGAATGTCTGATCCAATGTTGATCAATCGCTATATTGTTGTTGCCTTAACCGACTACGGTTAAGTGTCCGAATCGTTTGCCTTAAACTAGTGATAGTTTAAGTGTCTGATTGCCTTAACTGACTACAATTAAGTGTTTGAAATCAATTGCCTTAAACTAATGATAGTTTAAGTGTCTGATCAATAATTTCCTTAAAAGAATCTGGTTATGGAAATTATGATTTGGCCTTACACTAAGAATATATAAGAGCATTATTATGATCTGGCCTTAGACTAAGAATAGCTAAGAGCGTTGTTATGATCAAGACTTAGACTAAGAATAGTTAAGAGCGTTGTTATGATCTGGCCTTAGATTAAGAATAATTTAAGAGCACTATTGAAATAGTATCTAAATTGAATCAAATGTGTTGATATGAACTGAGCAATACCAAAACTGTGAATGTCTGAAATGAACATTGTGTGCATGATATCAAATGGTTTGATTATGAATTTATATTCAGTTTATATGAATGTTCGACGCATTAGATATGATAAGTCAGCTTTACCGCTGAGCGTGTAGTATGTTTTATTTGCTACACGCAAGTAAATAGAAAGCATAATGTGATCCTGGCGGCATATGGGGCGAGATTGTCGGGATGGATGTGACAAGTTTGAAATGATTTATGATATGTCAAAATTAAATTCGCTTCCGCAATATTGTTGAATACTCCGTACTGTGTATGTTATGAAAAATATTATTGGGATTAATAAAGTGTGTTTGAAAAGTTTTAAATTTTTACGATTACCAAGTTAAATACTTTAGTCCGAAAGGGGCTGCAGACCTGGACGGATTAGGGTGTTACATGTTTCTCAATTGCAAGTGGTGTTTTATAAACAGGGGCGCATGCTTCAAAATCTGCATCCAAGTCTACAGTTTTATGTCATTGGGAGTCCATAGCACTTTGAAATTGCATATTAAACTCAACAGGGGTGAATAAGGTATTTTTGAAATCACCAAAAAAGCTATTCTCGCTCTCAGAATGTTATGTTGTGCGTAGTAAACCAATCATGAACAAATCCCTAAAGTATGCGGGAATCCTACTTTTACGAATAGCAAAAAGATTACAAAACCATGAATCAGAATCCATCTCATAATCAACTAATACCTCATGCCATTGTTTTCCCCACTCTTCAGGCTCGAGGTAATGACTTCATATTATAGAGTTTAGCCTTGTCAAAAAGTCCTTGATCTTTGGCAAGTTCATTGTCAACTTTGGACATAATTTTGTTGGTAATATGCCACATATAGAGACGATGGACTGTGTCTGGGAAAACCTCTGGAATAGAAATAGCCATAGAAGCATCTTGGTCCGTGATTATGCATTGCGGGGCATGACCCATTGCATCAAGGAAGCGATTGAACAACCATCTGTACGAAGGAACATCTTCTCTGCGCAACAGACCAGCTTCAAAGGTTACACATCTGCAGTGATTATCTACACCAGTAAATGGTGTAAAAACCATTTTATACCTGCACCACAAGAAACACACCCAGAACCAAACTAGTTCAACACCTGAAAACACGTTTACAATGCTAGAAATAATAGTCTTATGCAGTGCATCAAAGGCATAACATGCTGCATTAAAAGAATATACCTAATTGTGCTGAAGGTTGCGTCAAATCAAATGACATCTCCAAACATTGCGTAGTTCTTCTTAGCAATAGGATCACACCAGAATACCCTAGTTAGCTGGTCACTCTCATCAACATCATAGTCAAAATGGAATGCAGAGCATGTTTGTTTCTTTCTCAATAGTTTGTCAATGAGCATTTGAGCATCAGCTCCTGCAATATATGCCTTTAAGTCTCGTTTGAAATTTTTGAAGTCAATTGCAGTGGCACCCACATTATTATAGCCACCAACTGATTCCTTGAACAATCGGTAGGACTTCATAGGGCCAATGTTCGCCTTTGCACAATTCAACATAAACTTCTTGTGGCCAATTTCTAGATTTCTGTTGATTTTCAAAAAGGGCCTAGATGGAAGGGACATCATGGGATGGTTATGACTTTCAATGAATGATGATATGGAGTAGTACCACCCGTGAGCCTAAACGCCACACGCGCCTTGCAATCAACATGATTGGAAATGCATCTCCTCTGTTTTGCCTTGGGCAAGTCTCCATCATCGTGAGTGGGTTTGTTGCAGGTTGATGCAAAATGCTTATGACCCTCGCGGTTGCATACAACGTACCGCCACACAACAACACCCGAAACCTTCAAATTGGTGCTTTTACGAATGTCAAAACATGCCAATGCAGCATATTGTTTGTAAAAATTAAATCCGTCCTCTAAGGATTGGAATACCATTCCCACTTTAGGCTTGGCCTCTTCAGGGCAGGCAGGAATAAATAAGTTGGATGAAGTCGAAATAATTTCGGTTGCATGTGTTGTTCCTTCGTTTGAAGTCATAGGTGTGTACCCTAGACATAATCAACGGAGGAAGGTTAGTTAAATGCATTACGTAATTATAATTATGTAATACAGGATTCCAAAAAATCGAAATAGAGGACATATATATGAATAAATAAGCACAGTAGGTGAGAAACGACATGAAGCGTAATTTCATGAAAGTGGCAGCAATTGACGAACAACAAAGAAAAAAAGAGAACCAGCAAAATACGAAATGTAGTCCACCAAAAAATAGTTACAGGGATTACCAAGACCATTTTGAAACATTGTTGAATTCAGTAAGCATGATCAGGCGTGGGGGGGGGTCATTTTGATGCAGTAAGCATGATCAGACGATGGGGGTTCATTTAGTGCAGTAAGAAGACATGGTGATGCAATACAAAATGCACGAAATGCATAAAGAAATAAAATATAACCCTTTTTAGACATAATGCATACAAAAAAAATGGGTGCAATGTTTCATGAAGCTGTACTTAGTTTAACGAGCAACCTTTGAAATGATAACCCCATTAAGAAAAATTCTAAATCCCAAAAAAATTTATAAGTAATTTCACAGAGAATGTAAGCGCATCCATGGATCTAACGAACTGGAGAGGCTAGTGAAATTTACATACCATGGTTACATAATTCTAGACAAAAAGAATCACAAAAAATAGAAACCTGGAACCATGATAAAAGATCGAGCAGCAAAGACGCTCCCAATTACGGCCGAATTGGAGGTTAGCAAGAGTTTGATAAATAAGGGTATTCATATCTCTAGAAAGGTTAGAGAGAAAATGGGGAATGTCAATCAGATCGTGCGCGAGAAATCAGGGATGAGAATGCCTCACGATGGTTTGCGTTTGAAGGAAGTGCCGTAAAGACTTCTACGCCCTGGCGATAAGATTGAAAACTCATCAGATCGGACGGTTTATAGTTATTTTTATTTCTTTCATTAGATCTCTTTCTCACCGGAACCAAACTATATATGTGTGTGTGTGTGTGTGTGTGTGTGTGTGTGTGTGTATGGTAATATGGTAAGATGACATGCTTCAATCAGATGACACAACACACAACACTGCCAATGGAAAGCTCACCAACTTCCAATGCAAAGCTCACCAACTGCCAATGCAAAGCTCACAAACTGCCAATGCAAAGCTCACCAACTGTCAATGCAAAGCTCACCACTTTTTTAAATAAAAAAAGTTAAAAAATAGCACCACCACTCAACCACTAGTGAACCACCGCTCAACCACTAGTCCACGGCAACAGTGGGGGTCATCGGTGGTGGCCATTGGTCATGGGCGGTCAAAGTGTAAAGCTCACCAACTGTCAATGCAAAGATCACCAACTGTCAATGGAAAGCTCACCAAGAAACAATGCAAAGCTCACCACTTTTTTTCAAAAAAAAAAAGCTAATGAAATTGCACCACCAGTCAACCACCGGTCCACAGAGGTAGTCTGCAGCTAGCGGTTGGAAGTCAGCACCACCGCCCTTTGTTTTTTTTGAAATCATTTTAAACTTTAAAGTGTGGTGAGCTTTGTGCACATATTCGGTGAGCTTTGTTGTTGGGCGTTGTAAGCGTTTAACCATCAAATTTTGAAAAAAAAGTAAAGTGTTGGAAAATCATGGTGAGCTTTGCAGTGGACAGTGATGAGTTTTGCAGTGATTAATGGTGAGCTTTGCAGTGATCAGTGGTTAGCTCCAGCGTCGTCTGACTGAAACATGTCATCTTACCATAAGGTGTCATCTCACCAGAGTCAATCCCTATATATATATATATATATATATATATATATATATATATACACATACATACATACATACATACATATATATATATATACATATATATACACACACACACACACACACATATATATATACATCTACAAAAACGGCCAAATAAATCTCCACATTTGCATCGCTAAGCAAAACAAACGATTTAAAAGCAAAAAACATTTCGCGTACCGCTTTGCATTTGCATCGGTTATCCCTAATAACCGATGCAAAAGAGTATTTGCATCGGTTATTAGGGATAACCGATGCAAAAGCTTAAAACCTTTTGAATCGGTTATCCCTAATAACCGATGCAAATACTCTTTTCCATCAATTATTAGGGATAACTGATTCAAAATGGGATGTTATAGTCAGCCTCTAGTTTCTTATCCTTAAGCGATTTTGAAAAAAACCTCCCCAAACCCTTCGCTGGCTGTCTTCATGCCTTCGCCGTCGCCTCGCTCGTCGTCACCGTTCCTCGTTCGTCGTCACCGTTCCTCGCTCGCCGTCGCTCCTCGCTCGCCGTTCTTCGCTCACCGTTTCTCACTCGCCGTTCCTCGTTCGTCGTCACCGTACTCGGCTCGCTGTCGCCGTACCTCCTCGCTCTTGCATTCGCCTCAAACCTCCGTCAGGTCGTTGCCATCCCCCTCGCTCGCCGTCGCCGTGCCTCCAACTCCTCGCCGCCATCTCTTCCGTCAGCGTGCCGTCGCCGTCTCCGTGCTCCTCTACCCTCGCCGTACCTCCCTTCACATTTTCTTAAGGTATTTTTTTAATATTTCACTTTAAATTTTTAATTATAGTATTATTTATTTATATATTTTTATATGTATTAGGTGATTATTTTTTTATTACAAGTGGTAAATATAATTTTAAATTTATTCCAATGTATTTTCTTTAATTAGTATATATTTGAATTGCTTTTGTGTTTATGTTTAAGTTGAAATGGGATATTGTCATATAGATTGTGTTTGAAATATAGATTGTTCAATTACTTTTTGTTTGATTCTACATGATCTGAGATGTTATAATATAGAAATAACATATATTGACCGACCTAGATACCCGTTTAAAATTTACTCATTAGGAGTAAATTCCAATTTTGGAGCTTTTCTTGAAATTCTTCTCTCACTTAGGTAGTGAATGTATTTCTTTCTCTTTGTTCTATCATTTTTTGGTTTGACGTTTCCTAAATGTGTTCTTCGGGTGCATATGTAATTACATTACATCGTGCACTTGGAGAACCATTGGGAAATGCTGCCGAAATTTTAATAGGTCAAAGAAAATGAAATACATTTACTAGTGAGGGTGGCATTTCAAGAATGGGTTAGGATGGTGTAAAGAAGGACCATTTGTATAATGAAGAAGTGCTGCCGGATTTTTGTTACATCATAAGAAATAAAATATTGTGTTGCCTGTATTTCTTATATGTTTGTGTGTATATATAAAATGAGTGTTAATAATTTTGTTGTGCATTGTTTTGCATGTATCAATCATTTGCCCTTTTTTCTTGCTTAGCAATTCATATGATGGATAGAAGTTGGATTCATATGTCGCGTACATCACCTCAGTTTAGTTTGGGTTTGGAAGAGTTTATTCGTTTCGTAGAGAAACATTCAAAAGAAGGAAAAAAGCTATATTGTCCTTGTAACTCATGTCACAACCATTTTATGGTTGATAGCGCTAAAGATATAAGATTACATGTGTATCGCAAGGGTTTTGACCCAACATACCTGCGATGGAAATGGCATGGAGAGTTAGAAAATCCTTGCAATGGAATGGGCAATCAAGATGTTTTGTGTTTAATAAACTATATACCGTTTTATTCACCATATTAATGGGCACTCAAGAAAATCCTTGAACTGTAATCTCTATTTTACTCACCATGCTTTACACGTATGTCCGAATTTAATAAACTATATACCGTTGGTCACCATATTATGAGATCTACCTGAAAACCTAATTTTTCTTTAAAACTGACAACTTTACAAATAATTCATATTTTTGAGTAAATAAATTTAATATTTATTTTTATTAAAATCGCGGCTAAGTACTAAGTCGGTTTTTGGGTCCTTACAAGACGAGCAAGGGGCTTTGTTGCAGTGGCAATAGTCGGGACAGCCGCACCAGTTTGGGCAGCGGTAATGGTGAAAGCGGGGAGCGAGGACATGACGTACATCGACGCTGGATCTACATTTGATTGGATCGAAACAAAACAAAACGAAGTGAGTATGTGGACATCTAACACTAGAATATGCATCTTGGTTTGAAATTCCGTTCATAGTTATTATCGTGATTGATCTCCGTGAATTACGTGATTGTACTGTTTGATTGTGGTTTCGAGGACTATGTCGATTGGAAAGGGTAGTATGCATGACTTAGGCGTTGATTAGCGAGTTAATGTTCCTGATAATGTTTAGAACGTTAATATGAACCTATTAGTGTTTGTTATTATCATATTGTTGTTGATTTGATGTTGAAAAATGAAACATGTAAGAAGCAGGAAATTGTTGCGTCAAACGGTAGGCGGTACCACCGGGACGGTACCGTGCTACCGTCACACTCTGTTTGTTTCGTTCCCCTCTGACGGTAGCTGTGACCATTCAGTACCTAGGTACCGGACGGATAGTAGGCCCTATCGCCCAGGCAGTAGTCGGCTATCGTGATAGACCTACCGGAAGAGCCTAGATGGTTGGAACGGTACCCCTGGTACCGTAGGACCGGTACCCAGGTACCGTGAGGACGGTACCCCCTACTGTGACAGGTACCGTCTGGTACCTGGTGCCGTGTCTGTCAATTTTCTGTTTTCGTCAAGGATTGATTCCGAGACTACGTGTGTTGCATGACAGTAAACATGGGTGTTTACACCCAGTGTTAGGCCACTATTTGATTATGTTGGATATCTTGTTAAATGCATTGTGACTTTATGAATGTTATATCATGCATTGATTAATGAATGTTGGATATATCACCTAGAAGAACTCTAGGAAATGACCTGAATAGATTAGTGGCAAGGTATGCCTTAAGTATATTAAGTTAGAGTCATGTGGTACCTGCTGGGTCCAATGGCTATTTCGGTAAAAACGTATACACAGGGATCTAAGAACTGTCATTCCGAAGGGGACAGGGATCTCACCCACCGAATGAGGAACTCCCGAGTTGGTTTGAGCTTGACCTTCGTTCCGAAGGGGAAGGTCATTATCTTATGAACTGTTATAATGTTGGTTATGCATGTTATATCTTGTATGCCGTATGATTGTTGTCGAGCATGTTGTGTGCATGATATCACGTGATAATTATGAATTAGTGGATTCGCTTATGTGTATGTTCAAATCGTTAGATATTTCTCACTCAGCTTCATTGCGGAGCGTGTAGTCCTTTTTCCCCTTTGTTACACGTAGGTGGTTGTGGAAGATTTATTCTGGAATCCATCCCGGAGAGCAGCATGACAGAGGAGATGTACGGATGCAGGAATTTAGTAAAGTTTATGTTTTGGTTAAATTATAAAGCTTCCGCACTATTTGTATAAACTCTAATAAGTATTTAAATTGTGTGAGTTTTAAATTAAATGTTTTAGTTTATTGGAAAATATTATATGTAGATACCGATTAAGTAGCAACCCGGTCCGCTAACCTATTTATTCAGGTTACGCGAGTTGGGGTGTTACATAATCAATATTCATACTTTATAGCCTTGGTATGGTTGTTGTATGGCGCTGTGAGGCAAAATATTTGATCATATGAAATACTTCTATAAATAGAGCAACAATTTGTCCTTTATTGAAATAACCAAAGTACTTAGAACAATAGCTAAACATCAATTCAAAATTGAAAACTGATCAAATACTAAAACTTAAACTAAAGCGCCATAAGCTGCAACCCTTGCATCCTCAAGATCAACACTCCTACTTCTTCTCTTCAGTTGCCATAACAGTTTGCAATATTATAAGTATCGAATATTTTTGAAGAGATTGTAGATTATTTAAGTCTTTACAACAATCATACCTAAAGCAGAAGCTTCACCCTTTTTCTTGGTTGCCAAATGCTGCTTGCAATTCCTCTCCAAGTGGCCAACTTCACTAGAGTGATGAGAAATGGAATCTTTGGCCACCCCACCTTTAGGCTTTAGCTTAGAAGAATTTGACTTTGGGTCGGTGTTACCCTTGCCTTTAGGACCATTCTTCTTTGCCTTCTTGAACATTTTCTTGCCCTTTCCTCCTTGAACTAAAAGGACATCATTTCCCTTCCCTTTTGTCAAGTTGTCTTCAACGGTTTGCAGCATTTTCAAAAGTTCTGGCAGTGGTATATCGAGTTCATGCATCTCGTAATTAACCACAAACTGCTTGTACAACTCTGGCAACAATTGCAGAATTAGATCAGTTGCAAGTTCAGTCCTTAGTTCGAAACCCAATTTCTCAAGAGTTTGAACATATCCAATCATTTTGAGAACATGCGGACCAACGGGGTTTCCAACAGACAACTTGTCACTAAAGAGAGCTTTAGAGATTTGAAATATCTTTTGCCTAGCTTGTCCTTAGAGCGGTCTTAGGTGTATGATCATATCACACGCCTTCATACTCTCGTGATGTTTCTGAAGGTCAGAAGTCATCGTAGCCAACATTACATGCCACCTCATTGTCATCATCAACATGCTTTTCGTAAGCATCTTTGGTTGCTCTAGGAGCATTGGTGGCTGGGGCAGGTGGAATGGCTCGTTCGAGCACGTACTCTTTCTTCTCAAGTCAAAGAACGATAACAAGGTTTCTTTGCGAGTCTAAGAAGTTAGAGCTGGTCAACTTATCTCTGTCGAGGATTGAGCGAAGAGTGAGGTGTTGAATATAAGTGAGCCCTAGAGGCCAACTTATGATTCCATATCTATATTATATCAAGAATAATAGGCCCTAAAGATTGTTTAAGTCGTCTCGTGTGATTTAAACATAGCTTTAGCCCATAGAGTAGGCGCTCTAGTAACATAGATGAGAACTACGACGTTCTGATAATGAGGTTGTTACAAAGATAGAGACTATGTCTAAAATATCCTTAGTCGAATATTATGATAATACAGACATCATAATATATCAAGACTAATACGTATGAGATGAGATAGCTACGTCTCATAGGCTATAGATAAAGTGTTATCTGAATCTATACGCAGGCAAACATATTGGATATGTTACTGGATTGACAAGCTATGAGAATAATATATGGGTTTAAGTTAAAGTGTTAATATTATTCTCCCGCGACCTTTAGTATAACTATCCTTTGACTTAAAGTCATTACGATATTTGGTAAGTTGAGTTGCATACTTTGAGGCATGATTTATGCCATCTAAAATATTGGTGGATGTACAATTATGTTTTGGGTATGCAATGAATCTTAAGTGAAGATGTGAATGACGTATTAGGGCTCACTGGTTGATGCGACTTGGGAAGTGTAATATCTTAGGGCTCACTGGTTGATGCGACTTGGGAAGTGCATGGTCATGCCCAAATAAATATGTTATTTGAATCCCACAAGTCAATCAAAAAATCAGTAAACAATCGATTTAACTCTAACAATGTGATACACCCCACACGTTGTGTTAAATCAAGATATTAGTGATAAAGGGATAAGAGTTATACAAATAAGATGTGTCGTTGAAGGAATTGTTCCAAAAGCTTTATATTTATAATTTGGGGGTGATAATGTGTTGCTAGATACCGCTTATCACTTCTAGTATCTAATCAACACTATGACCAATTTTATAGGTACCTAGAATAGGGTCACACACATATAACGTATGAAAAGCGTAGAATATTGATGTGGAGTAAAGTTGCGTTTATATATTGTGTATATTATATTGTGTGACAATATAATTAGATACACAAAGATATACTTCGTATAAATAAATGTTTCATATTTGGACATTTTAATTATATGATAATTAAGTATGTCAAATCTATTATATATAAAAAAGTAGAATCAAAATTGATTAAACTTCCTTCCAATTTATGCTCTAATCGGACGGTCGAATTTCATTTGCAATTGGATAAATCTGACCATCGATTGGGAAGGTCATATTTGCAGTTTCCATGTCTATAACCAGTAGACACGATATCTACAATGCAAACTCTACAAGTGCCGTAGATCATGAAGCGGCATTACACAAAGGACGAAAGACTTTGTGATTACCAGGGAGAATTCCAAATGCCACGAGTATTTCGAGGCGTACCAGTGAGAATCTAAATTGAGGAATTTGTCATCCAATTTTCGCTCCCAAAATTAAAGGATTTGATCGACCGATTTCATCTCAAACAACAAAATCTGGCAGTCAATTTTGAAGGGCAATTGACGTAGAAGATGCTAAAATTTCGAAACGCAGAACCAAAACCTATAATGCATATTTTCTTGAATCTGAGAGCAGAAGGAAAAATATATCCATAGCCCATCATCCCTGGTCGAGATTGAAAAATCTGTCTAGCGTCAAAGAATCGCCACGGCTTCATGTGCAAAGAAGCAAAAAACCGCCAAGAAAAAAAAGGGTTTGCAGGTTAAGGTGCGCCCCAATCCACACAGCTTCATTCCCATGGTACGCTCTCTATAGTTTGTACTCTTTATTGTGTAAAGTGGCAAATGAGTTTTGTTTTTATGTGTAGAGATTAGGTTTTTGTTGTTTTTTATTAGGTTTCAAAGTGAAACAGAGAAGAAGAAACAAAAGGCTACGATTAGGAAGAGCAGAAGAGGTAATTTAATTCTTGATTTTTAGTTTATGGTGTGGTGATGGGTACCTCGAGAATCTCTTGATCTCATTCCAATAATAAAATTGATCAATGGGGGTAAAACTAACTTTTGTGTGATCTTTGTGTTTTGGGTGGAAAATGGTAATAATATTCTTGGACTTTAGAATTAGCTTCATGTGATATGAATCCACGAGACTGCGATGTTTTGGAATGTAGTATAATGTGTTCCTAAATGAGTTTGACTTTATCAAGGTTGATCAATGATAGAATTTTAGGATGGGGTAAGGATAACTGGATTGGGTAATAAGAGACTTGGGTTGAACCACATTAAAAGATTGAATCCAATCGATTAGTTAGTTCAACTCAAGAGCTTATATACCGATTATTTTGCTCTTGAACTTCCGATGTGGGATGACACTCTAACAACCAACATTATTCACTGCATGAAAGAAGAACCCAAAGAAAATTAAAATTGTGAAAAAATTATATTTGTCATATATAATGCAGTAGGTGACCACTGATTTCTTGCATCATTTTCTTATCTGATTTAATGCTGCAATATACTTTTTAATCTGACTGTGTTGATCGCTATGGTTTGTTAGGTTTCAAATGCTTGAGTCCCATCTTCCCATCACCTGAAGCAAACCTCTCATATTCTTTGATCTACCAGCTAAACTATCATTTTCATTTGGCATTTTCAATATCAAAAAATATTATTGTAGTATTCAGATTAAGAATTCCAAAATGATACCACAACGATGAATAAGTTGTGCAAATTTTTTTCACACCTTTGCACTCAAAGCAGAGATAACTTAAAAGCAAAGAATGAAAAGGTTCCATTCAAAAATTTTGGCTAAAAAGTAGATGGTAGAAGTCTCATGAAGAAATACTTAAACAAATGCATCAAACTATGGAACTAAAAATTGATGGAAAACAAATTTGAATACTTACATTTGGGTTATTTCATTCTCATATAGACATTGCCTTTCTGAAGCATGTGTCTGTACCTTTTGTTGGTACAACTTATATTTATTAGTAGTTATTTTTTGTAATTGTGCATCTCAAACTTTGGGAAAACTATTCATCTATATGGTTGCAGTAGATACTTCATTGAGTAGCTCTCTAAAGCCATAGATATTTTACTCCTTTGGGATATCAAACAGTTAAATTGATTTAGAGTGGGTTTATTCCTTTTAGATATTCAAGAAGTTTTAATTATAATATTTGAACTAATTTTTGACTTTCAAAGTTGTAGTTCTTTCGATTTGTTCTTAAGAACACTCAAAATTGTTCCTTCAAATTGATGACTCATCATTTAAAAAGACCAAAGCTATCAAGATGATTGTAGTAGCAAGCTTTGATAGAATCCAAAAATTATTATTAAATTACAAATATTGAGTTTCTTAAGATTATGATATTGGAGTAAAATAACTTTATGCACTCATTTTTATGAGTTGTAAGTTACTAATACTTAGTTTCTTAAGATTAATTATGAGATTGGAGTAAACTTACTTTTGCACTCAAGTTTAAGCTATACTTGCAAAAGTCCATATAATTACTTCTAACAAGTTTGATAGAAAAGAAGGTTTTTAAAGTGACAGTCTAACTTGCTCATCTTATTAAAAGATTAGATAGAAACATACTAATGTTATGTCTATAATGTTTAAACATGATCTCTTCTTTTCATGTATAACATTATCATTTTTATGTGCTATTTTAATTTGCTCATATCAACTTATTTGGCTTATTGGATAACCACGTTAAATTTTACTTTAACATGCAAGGAAGACCCTTGGCATCCAACATCTTGAGGAATCAGGGAGATCGTTACAAAGACTTTCTAGCTTAGGGGGTGACAAAAATGGGAGGCTTTGCTTATGATATTGTTCATTGTATCTGATACAATTTGATAATAACTTGTCTTATTGAATATTGAGAGATATGGCCCTATATATAGGGAATACAAGAGTAATCAAAGTACAAATAGGAAAGGAAAGAATAATCCTAGTAGGAAAGGAAAGAAGTATCCTAATTTAATTATACTTCCTGATATCCCCCCGCAAGCTGATCAACGGAGACGAGGGGCAGCTTGGAACATAAGTACTCAAAAGAAACTGGCGGAAGCGGTTTGGTAAGAATGTCTGCTAGCTGCTCTGAGGAGGAAACATGATGTGGAGTCATAGTGCCTGCCATAACCTCATCTCGTACAAAGTGACAGTCTGTGCCCACATGCTTCATGCGATCATGAAGAACCGGATTTTTGGTGACACAGATATTCGACTCATTGTCACAGTATAACTTCGGTTTGGACGGAGGAATACCCAGTGCATCAGTGATATATCGAAGCCACATAGCTTCTGCAACCCCTGCAGCCATAGCTCGATATTCAGCTTCAGTGGATGATCTAGAAACACGAGTCTGTTTTTTCGTGCACCAAGAGATGATATTAGGACCGAGTAGGAGTATGTAGCCCGTGGTAGACTTGCGATCATCTTTATCATTGGCCCAGTCAGAGTCAGAGTAGACAGATAGGTCGAATCCCCCCTTGCGAAAAAGAAGACCATGATTCAAAGTGCCTTTGAGATAGCGCAGAACGCGTTGCAAGGCATGATAGTTCTGCTCAGTGGGGTTGTGCATAGTCTGAGACACTCGATTAACAGCATACTGAATGTCTGGACGAGTGACAGCCAAGTAATGTAAACCACCAACAATGCTCCGAAAATGAGAAATATCCTTGAAAGGCAACGAAGGCTTAGTGATAGGTCTCGTAGCCATAGGAGTAATAGCCGGTTGACAGTCGGACATCCCAGCTCGGCGTAGAAGATCACGGGCATATTTGGATTGATGGAGAAGTATAGAATCTTGCGTGCGCTGAACCTCAATGCCAAGGAAGTAATGAAGAGGTCCAAGTTCTTTGAGCTTGAAGTCACGGTGCATGGCCTGAGTAACTTCTGAGATGAGAGTAGAAGAGCTGCCAGTGAGAACAATATCATCAACATAGACAAGGACAACAATAGTCCCACGAGAGCAGTGTCTGGTGAACAAGCTGGTATCATGAATGCAGCACTTGAATCCAAGGCCCTGCAAAAAAGAGGAGAGGCGTGTGTACCATGCACGGGGTGCCTGTTTGAGACCATATAGTGATTTGCGGAGCTTGCAAACATAGTGAGGATGAGTGGGATTTATGTACCCCGGGGGCTGCTCCATATAAATTTCCTTGTCCACTGTACCGTGAAGAAAGGCATTGCTAACATCTAGTTGATGAAGAGGCCAATCACGGTTGAGTGCTAAAGAGAGGACCAGGCGCACTGTTTGTTGCTTGACCACAGGACTGAATGTCTCCTTGTAATCAATGTCATACTCCTGATGATAACCTTTTGCGACAAGACGAGCCTTGTACCTTGAAACAGATCCATCAGCATTCCGTTTAATGCGATACACCCATTTGCAACCAATCGGAGTGCGGTTCTTGGGTGGTGGAACCAAGTCCCATGTACGTTGCTCATTCAAAGCAATAAACTCCTCATCCATAGCCTGACACCAAAAACTATTACCAGAGGCTTGGCGGTAAGTGCTAGGCTCAGTGGTAGGTGGGGTAGTATCAAGGGTGGTAATG